TTGAAATCGCTAACTACCCCTTTTGTTTTAGGCGCTCCACACATCCTGCGCACATATCCTTGCATCCTGGGAGCGCGGTGAGCTCTAATGAGGTGATGGTGTGAGTGACGTGTAGCAAGCTCGTTCCCGATTTCGAGTGTTAAGTGGCCACTCGACAACTTTCCAAGTGCCCAGAACTCAAACCCGAATCCAGAAATCGAAAGCGACAGTTTGTGTTCGGCGACTTCGCGATTTCCCAGGTCGAGGTTGAGGTCGAAGCTTTGTCAAAGTCGATTTGTTACATTTCTCGAGTGGCGAGACCTTTGCCTCGCCTCCGTTCTCTTCCTCTCAGGTCCTTCCTGTGAGCTGTTCCAATATTTGCCCAGCTCTCATCGAACTGTTGCGGAATGCGAGGGCAGGGTTGTAAGGGTCTCGGCTACACTGAGAAACCTACATCGAAGGCTTCAAGGGAGCTCTCGGTAGTGTGGAAAAGTGGTGAGAAATGTAACGATTTTTTATAAAAAAAAAGTAGTTACTTTATGATATGATTTTAATAACATAATAGTATTAGTTAAGATCTATTATTAGTCACTTTTTAGTCAGACTTAGTTTCTCCATGTGCATCATTGCCACTATAGCTAGTTCAGTAGCCCATTCAGGGTTGATCGGACTTCGTTATGATGACATATGGCCTCCCATCGCCGAGGATGACGCGACGGCTTTTCACTTTTCACCGTTGCTGGTCAACTTCGAAGCCGAAGAGTTGCCAAGTTCCCAGGACCGTTAGGCTTAGGACGTCGCGTGACCCCGTAATAATGGCTTCATTCGGGGATGCACCTGATGACCGGCCACCTGCTTTCTTGACCGGAAGTTGAAAAGTTTCGAACTTTTCCGACCAGGAAAACTGGAAGTGGGAGAGCTTCGTGCGACAGCTTAATTAAATGATGGGCAACGCCTTCAAATGCCAGTTGTCCGCCATTTTCCCTGGAAAGATACAACCCCGTCGAGAAACTATCTACGCAATCGGTTTCCGAGGCCCCGGAGGCCATCGAGCGGTCTGCTTTGTTATGCAAAGAAAACATCAAATGGAAAGGCAACAAATTCAATTACCAGACTGCGCAGTGATTCCGCCCCGGAGGCAAATTTCCTTCCGCAGATGCAGCTTCCACCACTTCCGATGGACGAGAAGCACAGGAGACAGATCCTCCGTTGATTCCTGCTGCTGCAGAAGTTTCTCAGAGGACAAGGACGAACCCCTATTTAATTTAGGATCGCACAAGAACACACAAGACGCAGCAGCCGCGGTGGTCCAGCTTTTGATTGCAAGTCCTTGAACCGAGGCCCTCAGCTCGAAGCAAACTGTCGCAGATCGTATAACACTTGTTAGTCTGTCGATATGGCCGATGTAAGCGGAGTTTCCAGTGAACTCCGTCGCGGGAACAAAGGAGTCCTTCGATCATCGAAATAATGCGGGCAATTGCTACTTTCTTGAGGTTAAACGCAAGTTGCTCTTCAGATTTATTGAGGACTTTGTTCGACGACTCGGCGGATCGTCGGTTCGGCGGCTCAACGGATTTGCCCTTAATATTTTTCTCACCTCCAGGAGGTCCACTCGTCGCAAAACCACGGCTATTGTCCCGTCCTCAGATGGCAACAATCAAAAGGATGTGCAAAGATTTCCAGGGACTTAGACTCGGGCATCAAGTACTTAGGGGCATAAAAAAAGGGCAGACACAATAGAGGGACCAGTGCAAAAAGTACTTTGGATTGGGCCACGCTTCGGTGACCCTGCAACGCGATGTCCTTGTCCTAATCGCTTTGGATAGCATTGATCAGTTCTGATGATCTAAGACAGCCACGAGAATTTGCTAAGGACTTCCCCTTTCTCTGATGAAAGCAGCTGGTTTATTGGAAGTACTTTGTCTGATGATTAATTCGTCTTTGCTTCTCGGATTTCCATCGAAGAGTTCTTATCGAACCAAGTTAACTATAGAATATTACTAAGTAAGACTAAGAAATCAGAATATTAGTGAAAATAAGGAGATATCAATTCCATTTCAGAAATGTATAACGAATGTCTGTATTTTTCAATAACATATTTCCCTCAGTGCATAACCTCCTTTTCCCTTTCTGACCGCTTTGTCTGCCAAATTATGCGACTAAGCGTCAAAGACAATGCCGCCACGGATGTGTATGCAAATACAAAGAATTCCGGAGAATTTTCCACCGAAAATTTGCCATTTGCCCACTAAAGTAAGTTAAGCAGAACTTAAGGGAACTAAGTAAGGCTCAGACCAAGACCAGAACCAAAACCAAAACCTAAGGCAGGTCCAAGGAGGAGGCTTAGTTGGCAGTGCGTAAGCCACAGAAACAATTATATACCCGCTTATCTGAGCGGCAGATATAGAAAATTGATCTGGCGATAAATCGAGCTACTCAATTTACAAAAACAACGCCGCTTTGACTTTTGCTTGCCGCAGGACGAGAGAGAGGAGAGACGTCCTGACTTCAGGTACAAACAACGAGGACAATCGGAAGCCGGATTTGCAAATATACTCGTATATACCAAGCTATGTGTGTTCTGGCCAGGCTCAAACGGATGTTTAATATTTTGGCTTAGAGACATTCTCATTACATTTGAAAACAAAGGAGCTGCGGTGAGCAGACCGCCCGGCCAGGATTTGGGCATTTAGCAAAAGGGTAATCCTGCCCATTAAAATCTATTTGCATACTCATATTTTTGTTTCGCTAGGTAATTGCGCCTGGATAAGGATCAGAGCGGGAGGGAGCTAGCAGGAGGGAGCGAGAGCTCTGCTGTGTGGGTTAAGCTTGCGAAACCTTTAACCTGTTAGCCCACACCTGCCCTCGGGTACGAAACCGGGACAACCCGCTTACGCGAACTGCGCTAATCGGCCGACGGTCGCCTCCATTGAGCCCTTCGCGGGGATTACTTAATCAACGAAGATCTATGAATTAAACGTGTTATACAAAATCCCACAGATTCCAACTTACTTGTTCCGAAATTCCCCAGAATTTCGAGATCGGTGGCCACTTGAGATCTCGCCCAGATGAGCCAGTTCCCACCTCCTTTCGCCAGGTAAAGCTCGCGGATTTAAAGCAGTTCAAGTGAGGCACAAGTTAGTCCCCCGAGATAGTCCAAGTCCTAGTCCAAGTCGGCTTCCAGTTGTAGATGGATCAGCCCAAGTCTAAGCTAACAGAAGAAGCCTCTCAGAGTACAGATTAATTCCAAAAGGACTAAAGACTTGATCTCCGATGAAACTGGGGACTAAGCTAAAGCTGCGCCTGACTTTCTTTGGGGTGTTCTGATTAAAGAAAGTGAACTTTTCATATTTCTAATTCGAATTCAGATATACATTTTAGTTTTAAAGTTGTCACTTAGCTTACTTTAATCCCCTAAATTAAGCCTCAAGTTTGTATCACACCCAATGTCCAAGACACCTCAAAGATGGTCTCCTTCTTTAGGGGACATTATAGAAATCAAAAAGTGAAAAAATGTGAAAATCCTTTGCTCGCCGAGAGTGCAAAAACTAGAAGAGAAAACTGCAAATTAAGACCCGAACAATGGCCAAACAACAATGTGCAGAAAAACGTCACTGATGACAGAATGATGAGGATTAGGCCAACGCACATCCACTGAAAGGACCTGGGTGCTGTTCCTCTGTTTTCCTCTGTTTCTGTCCTAGTGCCTGAGTCTATTAAAAGTCTAAAGGCAGATAATAAAGGGCCATTAGGACTTAAAAGGGCTCAACAGCGCAGGGAAATAGAAATATCACAATTTGTTACCCCGGGTTCAACAGCATCCGAGTGAACCGGGAAGCCGGGACACAGGGTCCTTGCCGAAAGTCGAAATGGCAGCACCAACGAAGCATGCTTAATTCCCAATCCCAATCCCCGGAGGATGTTCTGGGTGCCGTGGTTGGACTCGAAGCGGTTAGGGTAGGTTTTTGCACATCCTCATCGCCATGGCCACGATGGATGTGTGTCAGTGGAATACACTCATCTCTGTTTACTTTGGCCAACGCAATTCGAACAATTTGGCAACTGTTTGTTCAGCCTTCGCAGCGAAAACTCATTTACCTCCGGCTGCACGTTGGCTGGCCATTGTGAAAGGATTCAATTGTCCTTCCGGGAGAGCGGGCCCCGATCCCAGATCTCTGCACCCCGATCCTTAGCAGCAATTCAACGATCCAACACCGCTCGACAAAGTCACAAAAGTGAATTTTTGCTTTTTAACTTTTCGAATTCAGGGCGGGAGGCAGAAGAGATATCAAGCGGCCATTGCAATCCTTCCTCCAGGTGCCCAAAATAATCCCGACTTTGGTCTGCTCATGCGGAAAAACTATGCTAATTTTTCCCGTTTCCATCTGCGATCTAATATTTCTTTGTTCCCGTATTTGCATAATTCATTTGTGATTAACTGGGTTGGTCTGTGCGGTTGCTTTTGACGTCTCAAAAGATTCCAAAAGCATCACGAAATGGCCATAAATGTACGATAATTCAGTGTGTAATCTCATGATTCCATGTTTGGCATAACACTTTCAGCTTCGTGTGGTAATTGGGAAGATATCAGAGGTTGGGTAAATAATTAAGTTACCTTTGATGTTTTCATTTTGTGTTTTTAAGGATTTTACTCTTCTCAATGCTGAACGGAAAATCATTTATATAAAAAGTTTAAGGTCGAAAAAGATGTTACATCTTCTACCAAAACGGGTATATGTTTACTTTTATCCTTTTTGAACTTGTAGTTCAACATGGCATATTGAAACCTATTTGAAATTTGAAATTATATATATTACTTAACACCTTATAAAGTGTATTAGTTTTAAATTACTCCTCTGTTTCCTATATCCATACCAACTTTAACCCTCTCCCAAAGAAGACCAAAAAATATTCATTTCGAAAACCTTTAGGTTTATTTTGAATAAAACTCTTTAAAAATCTTAAAACTAATGATATGCACTTAAAGCTAAGATGTTTATAACTATTCCGTGATTGGCAGGCAAAGTTGAAACTTTTGCGAATGCAATTTGAAACACATCTGGATGGTCTAAGAGACGTTAGCTAAGATTACTTTGAAATCCGGTAAGGTAATGAGGTGAGTTTTGTTTTTTGACATGTTTTTAAGGCTCGACTCCTGGAGATGTGTAAGCGTTGAGTTCACTGATTCGATATTGTCCAAAGCGCTTCTTCCGAGATTATCACAGTTCCCAGCACTAGGAAGGCACTTCGAGTGCGGCGTTTAATCTACTCTATATGCTTCTCAGATCTTGCGCTGACTGTACATGTCGGAGATCAGTCGCACAATGGTGATGTCGCCGATGGTCTTCCGGAAGAAGAGCTCCTCGATGGTGAAGCTGGAGACCTTGTGCATGAGCTGCACCACTCCCAAGAGGGTTTGGAAGCGCATGGGCTGGGCGGGATGGGTGCGCTGGATGTAGTTATGCAGGGCACTCCTGGCATCATTGTGCATGGCCGCCACCTTTCCGGACTCCAGGAGACCCTTGGACTCAGCGGAAGCCGAGGAGTTCGGGCTGCCACTTCCAGTCAGTATCGAACTGTTGGCCAAGTCCTCGGTAGAACTGGCCGAAGGTGGGGACTTCCGGAAGAGTGAGATGGCCCTCAGGCATTCGTACTCGGTGCTGTCGATGTTCAGGTGGCAAAGTTGGTTCAAGACATCCTGGAAGGCGTGCACCTCACGGGTGACCATGCCCATGATGTCACGATTGGCATTCTCGGATTCGTAGACAAACAGCAGCTGGGCGAAGTTCATGGGCATGAGGTACTGGGCCATGGCCAGGATGAAGAACTCCTTCCAGGACTCCTCCAGCAACAGTAGCTGATCCGGCATGGGCAGTTCGGTGAAGGCCCTTACGCTCTTTATCCAATTGACGTTCTTGAAGAGGTGCTCCGCTGCGGTTTCCTTGATGTGTTCAGCGGCCATCAGAGGAGGAGTTGGTGGCAGAGCCCGAGTGGCCAGGGCGTTCATGTAGGCGGCGGTGGGCGAGAAGAAACCATGGTGACCCTGATGGACCGGGTGGTGTGGTACTCGTGGCACGGATAAATCCAAGACAGCGGCAGCCGATGGCGGAGGCTGGAAGCCGGCCATATGGCCAGGATGATGGGGCCTCTGGGGCAATCCAGGCATGGGCATTGGTACTCCAGGGAAGCCAGTCAAGGCAGCCGTGTTCATCAGGATCTCGGCGGGTATTTGAGGCATCTCGCCGGCACCCATCATGGCGTCCTTGTACATGGCCATATGCCGACGCAAAGTGGAGTTCCTAGGTCCCCGCTCGTGCTGAACGGCATCCTTGTTCATGCCCACTTCGAAGCACTTCCTCAACCGGCAGGCCCGGCATTGGTTCCTGTGGGTCTTGTCCACCACGCAGAGTCCCTGTTTCTGGGACTTGCAGACATATTGCCGGGAACGACGAATGCTCCTCTTGAAGAATCCAGCGCAGCCATCACAGGCATAGATGCCGTAGTGCTTGCCGGAGCTGTGATCTCTGCAGACCTTGCAGGGCACATGGTACAGAATGCGGCCTGGAAAATCAAAGAAAGAAGGAAAATTGTATAAGTAAAGAGTTTTTCTTGGACTTGCAAATCAGGAAGATAAATTCCTTTTTTGATTGTATTTTTTATAGTTTTTTTGGGTATACTTACTCGATGCCGCCGGCGAAAGACGCACGCTGTTGTATTTCTGATCCATCATGTCTGGCGAACCCTCCGATGGCGACTGCATACCGATGTGGGGCGTAATTTTGGCGATTTTATAAAAACTTGTTCACAAATTTATATTCACTAGGCACTTGGCACTAAGCACGGATGTCCTTGGACTATATGCTTTTCGAATTAGATTGGTATTGGTTTGTGGTATTTTGGTGATATATTCGATATATCCTTGGTTACTCCGATGTGGACTCGCTGAGATCACGATGGGTTGTGTTGTCTGCTGTGAGGACCGGCGGCGTTTTAATAGTCCTGCCGGCCAAATCCATTCATCGAGCAGTCGATCACCCTTAGGTAGTGGAACGCGGCGTTCATTGGTCGAAATTCGGGTGAGGGTTGCTTCTAACGCTCTCTCGCACATCCTCTCTCACTCTCCCCCGGAGAATCCTTCGATCCTTCGGCAGGCTGCCATTGCGAAAAATTCATTGAGCAAGCAACGCAGCAGCCGTCGCTCATTCCCATTCTCAACTCTTTGGGTTTTATGGCCTTTTTCCGCAGCACTCGCTACCTGCTCTCCCAGAGTCCTTTGCTACCCTCTCTCTCTCTCTCTGTGAGCAGAGAATCTCTGCCTGTCCTGCGACAGTTGTTAATGAAGACAGCGGCGGGGACATCCTTCCATATCCATGGCCGAGTATTTTATGGCGCTGCCATTATTGCCGCTTTGTGATTTGTGTGAAGTACCTGTGGGTTCGCCTCTAGTCTTCCCAAGCGAGTCCTTCTCGAGTGGCGACTGCAGCAGGGGTTGAATAATGCGCACTATTGATTGTTTTCCATTCAGTAATTAGGTTTTTATTATGCAATGTTTCTGGGGGAACGTTGAATTAAACGCCTTTGAAACATAGAAGTTAAATTGAATCAAATGTTTGACTATGATACAGCTTTTCTGATTTCTTTACTGTCCACAAACTGGGCTTTTGATTTTATTAACACCACTTGCTTATTTCTTGTTCAAAGGCATAGTTTCCCATGAGCATTGTTGTACCTATGGAAAATGCATTTCTCAACGTCATTTTGTCCTTAATTTTAGTCAAATTTATTAAAATATAGACAACATTTTAGAGTTCAAATCGAAGTTCGAAAGGCGTTTAATTTTTGTAGTTTCAACATACGAATATAAGCTATTCTTCACACTACTTTACATACTCAAATAATATTACTATGTAAATCTTTTTGTTAACTTAAAATATTCGGAATTAACAAGCAATAGAAGTGGAAGAAAATGCTCGCTCTTAATTTAAAAGTAAGCAGTTATTCCCGAGGATAGTCCTGATAGTTAACTCCACTTGTCTTGGTAATTTTTATTGATCTTCTTGAATAATAATAACTTAATTTTAAAATCCAACTTAAAAATAATCTAAAATGGGAGCCCTCTGTATAGACAGAGTAGCTCCCTCGGCTAAGCCAGATTAGGGGTTGCCTTTTGAGAGCCGTTAGTACTCAAGTGGCCAGTGCCTCTAATCTGCAAGGCCCGGAGGACCCACCGATTCCTCGCCTTAAGCTTGCCGCTTAAGAAGATTACGGATCTCAGATCGCAGGAGTGCCGCTGCCTGGAAAAGGCTCGCTGATCGGGATGCTGCAAGATCAAGCTTTTCTCTCCGGGATCAGCGAATTCAAAAGAAAGACATTGTGTCGAGGTCCTAGCATCGGCCGAGTACTTAATAATGTTAAGCAAGATCCTGTAAGTCTGGTGCGATTACTCACCAACGCCTAAGGCCATATGATCCTGATCCAGGACACGGAACGTGGGAACACTCTTCTCCTGGCCCAGAACTCGAGAGCCGAAGGGTGGAGATGCAAATGCAACTCATTTGATATATGATAGACACTTAAAAAGAGCAATTATATTTCGATTCGTATTTCGGATGCGTAACTTGATCAATAAAATGCTTGACATGATATCAACACTCGCCGGGGGTTGCTATGGGTTCTAATTGGACTCGTCAACCCCTGCGGATGATGCTGCCCTTGTAGGGGGTGGTTAATTGGAACTCAGGTGGCCTGCATGGGAATTCGCTTGCGTGTGCTGCTATTCCGATCATTAGTCCGACTATCGGGACTTTCAACGGGGAGGATGCTCTACTAAACCAGATGACGATGACATGTCAATTCTTTGACATTGGCTTGACCATTCAATGGGCAGCGGGAGAACTTAATTGTGGGAACTCATGAATATTCAGATGAGGAGGCTGCATCTGTCCGATCTTCCCACGATTTGAATAAATTTTGTAATTTGAAAGTTCATAATGAATTCTAACTAATGATTATTAATTCCTGTTGAGATAAAGTTTGCTTGAGATTGGGGCCATAAAACATTGGTCATTCATCTAGTATACGACTTTAGGAAGTTCAAGTGATTTCCCCTTTTCTTTCATTGAGACCGACTATCATTTCCCTTACTTAATGAACTCGGGACGCCGGTGAGTCGCTAATCCGGGGGATTAGCGCTAAATCCACCACAAGAATTGAAACAGCAGTCATCGGCAGGTCGGAATATTGCAGTCCATATACTCTTGGGTTGTACCTGGGCTAGGTAGCCACCCACTGCCAACCCCCCGGCCATTCAAGGTCGGCAATGAATAAAAATGAATAAAAAATTTCCCGGAAAATTTGCGACTTTTTAGCAATACTCGTTCAGGACGAAAAGCGAAAGGGTTTTAGGGGTTTCGGTTTAGGTAGCGATTATTCGTCTTAATGAGGAGTTAGCACCTTTTTGTCTTCGAAGAATGCAGGTAGCCACCGGTTGGGTTGGCTTCGATTTTTATGCCACTTTCGATGCGTTTTTATGAATTGCCGACGGCGAGGGAAAGGGTTAAGACGCCACACGGCTAATGGCACTTCTCAGTTCGAACGAAGGGAAAGGGTTAAATAGCTGGGAAATTCACTTCATTTGCATGCTGGAGGTGGAAAATTCCCGCTGCTCGTTTATGCGGCCCAAAAGTTGCCGCCGACGCTCCGAATTCATTCAGCAACAGACTCTGGGAGGGATGACCGACCCTATTTCTATGGTTCTTTGGTTATTTCCCCAGATATTCTACCCCTGGCCCTGCGTTTCGGTCATTATGAATCGCGCCAGACTTTTGATGGGAAAGACCCGAAATGTCATTAGGTGATTGTTTTGTTCCAGTTTTATGGCTTGCCTCTATCTGGTGCACCGAGTATGTCGGTCGAGTTCTACACATGTCCTTAGGAATGCAAAAGAACATTCATGACAGTCGTCATATGGAATTTTTAGGCTTTCGCATCCTAGAAAAATATTCGGCTTAGCCTTTATTAATTCCCAATACACCCACTTTAATCCCTACCAACTCCTTAGAACCATTGGTGTCCACGATTATAGACTATGGACTTGTATATCCCGGGATCAGGCTTAGTTCAAATCAGAACATTGCCTTCGAAGAACACTCTATTAATTAATTTAAGCAATTTTTCTCATAATTTATAGTATGATAAATAGATAAATAAAAAAATAAATGAAATGAATATAGTTTTTGTAAAAATTTGATAATTTTGTAGAGATAAAATCAAGATATGAAAACCCATTAAAAGAAACACGGAAAATCATAATAAATTCAATTTTTTGGCGGGCTTAACTCTTTCCCAAACTGTAACCGTATGCTCCTATGACAACTAGCAATTATCCTTTTTGGCGCCAAGAAGACAAACAATCAGACTTTTTGGCGCTCATAATATGCAAATGCACCCAGAAAGTGCGGAAATGGAATCCTTTGACAACGACTTCCGCCGGAGCGAGACGGCAAAGTTCATAAAAGCAAAAAGCATGTCAAACCCAAACTGAAAAGTGCAAACAGACAGGGGAGCGAAGGAGATAACTCTGAATATCCTTCCCCGGGAACGAGATCCACAGGAAGCGACTCGCAAATCACGTCAAACTGAAGTGCAAATGGAACCCCAGGAATACCCGAGGACAGGAAGTGGACTATTAGACCCTAAAGAGGACAAACAGCCTAGGAAAAGCGCAATAATAACGTACTCGTACACGACCAGCAAATTGAATCACAGATAAGCAATCTGATCTTGAGAAATCATGCGAACAATCCCAAACATGAAATTAAAGTGCTCGAATGTCTTTGGAAAGAAATTGCGCAAGTCGGGAGGAGATGCCGGCAGAAAGTTGAGCAACTTTTGTCGGGATTTGACAACCAGGTTCTCGGGGTTCCGAGGTTCCCAGACCTGCACGTGCAAAATCAAATCCGGCCAGAGATGAGCGTTGGAATCCCGATAGGTTTCATATTCGTGGCTGCCACGGAAACGCGGCCAGGACAATGGGACACACCTCCAAGATTTGGACCACTACAACCCGATATCCGATGCGAGATTCTCCGCCAACTTCTCCGATTTCAGGCTGTTGAATGCCCCCGGGATTATTTATGCAACAGGAGAGCGAGAGGAAACAAGTGATGAAGTCGCTGCTTCCATTTCCAATTCAGTTTTGATTGTTGTGTCCTGCACGGGGAGAAATTGTATTTCCCTCTCAATGAAAAGTAAAAACCAAAGTAAAGTGTATTTTTTTTATTTTCCAATATTTTTTCTTTGTGTACTAGTTGGACCTTGCATAAGTGCCAGTACCTTAGTTTCGAGTCTCAGTTTGAGGACCTTTTGTGGTCCTGGCGAAGAGGAGCCTCTTTGTTTCGCGCTCAACATTTGCCAGCCAACATAACTTAAGGACTTTTTGTTTGCCTTTTTTACAATTGAGTCCCAGCTCGCTGCTGTTAAGTAGGATGTCCTGTTCGCTGCTGGCCTTTTGTTTTTGAGAAGACGTCGAGGGCCAAGAACCAGGCCACGTCTCGTTTGCATCTTTAAGCCCTAAGATTATGTCATACGCAGATCATTTGCAGATAGAAGTAGTCTAATATCTGGGCTTTGTACTCTGCGTTACATTTCTCACGCCCGAAACTGTTGGCAAAAGTTTCCGATTTCATTCCCCGATATGCCGAGAAATTATACACATTTCCTGCAAAAATCTGCAGGCGAAATGTGTTTATGTTTTCACTTTTCCATCAGCAGAGCCAATCTTCGAGGTCTTACCGAATCTGTCCCACTTTTCCGGCTAAAAGTGCTTATCAGATCTCCAGAGATAGTTGCGTTAAAAGCGGCAACTCTCTTTGATTTGATTAGTAGGACTTTATGACATTTCCCTACAGCTGTCTTGGTATCTGCCAGTTACTTAGAGTTC